CAAATAAATAGAAAGTTTTCATTCTCTTCATTTCAGTAAATTTCAATTGAATATGTCCATCCGTTATGGATTCAATGAAAACAACCTGAATCTTGCAGTTATATGTGTATAAATGTTTTTGTCGAAAGACTTAATTTCATATATTGAATATGTGAATGTTCTTTTCTTCCTTACTCGCACCTATCCTATTTCATGTATCATATTTACCTGTTGGATGTTAGTTAATGTGATATTTACAACTGTGTTAATCTATTGACGTGTCTATAAACATCTGAGACCTCATATTGAAGTGAAAAATAAACACATATTTCATTTTATTTTCCATCTCGAAATGATCCTTGCCATTATTATTCAGCTTTTTATTGGTTCCGACTTAATCGCTGTCACTTGAGAAAATATTAATTTTTTCTCCTCTTCGAGTTTTTATTTTCATGCGATATGAATCAAAACTGGTCTGTATTTATTCGTCAGTTCAGTAACCATTTTCGTAACATGTGAATAGATTTATTTTCATTTAAAACAACGTGCTTTCGAATATGTTACCGATATTTCGAAGCTGATTACCGCCTGCTCATGTTAGACGTTGATTACTATGCAAATTTTTTCATATCCACTTCAAATTATCATCTTCTTATGCATCATATTGATTCACGTGCCGACGAGTGAAAAATCAAGCAACACAAACATATTTCACTACCCTTATCGAACCGATTTATATTCAATGATTTTAATTATTCAAAGAATTTCATACAACAAAGATTCAATTAAAGTCAAAATGATGGAAATGACTTGATGATAATGATGATGAAGACAATCAATGAAATAGCAAGCAGGATTCGTATTAAAAAAATAGAACTTCATCAGCGGTTCTCGGAGAATATTTTCGATCATTTTCTGATTAAGTACCCTTTCGAATATGCTTCTTCTAGGTTATTTTTAAACAGTTGAAATTGAAAAGTATATCGTTGCATATCGGGATGATCATCGGACAATCGTTTTCTAGCCGTACTAATCGTTAATTCATAATAATCGGTGGCCAATTGAATTTCTCCTAGATGTCCATAAACTGCTGCCATACAATAGTAGATTTCGGGTAATACAGGATTGTCATCTTTCTGTTTCAGTACTAGATCACATGATTTTTCGAACATCTTCAAACTCATTGTCCAATTTTGTTGACGATAGTAGGATCTTGCCGTATTGAACAAGATATTAATCATGATTTCATCAAGTTGTTCTTTAGTTATCAAATTAGAAGATTGATGCTCGGAATAAATAACATTCGCTTCGTTAAAATATTTGAATACTGCAGAAAAATTGTTGTGTCTTGAACAAATGGTAATTAAATTATTGATTAATCGAAGACGTTCAAGAATATCTGTTGACGAAGTTCGTTGAAATTCTTCATTGAATTGACGGATGAGATCATCATGATTCGTCATATGATCAAGGGACATTTTTCCGGATGTGAATGATCTTTCAGATTCTTTATTTTTCAATTGATCTAATCGTGCTAAATATGTTTCTAATTCAAAAGTACGATTACGTATAGCCCAAATCTTTGCTTGTTCGATCGCTTTCTTCACATATTCCAGAGCCTTGACTATGTCTCCTTCTTCTTCATAAATCAACGAAAAGAAATTATAGATAGCACCCATTTTTTTCTGATGCTCGGCAGAACAAGCTAGGAGATTATTTAGTGCTTTTTCAGCCATTTTTAATGCTTTTCCCATGTTGCCTAAACGGTATTGCACAAATCCAAGACCATATTGAAAACTCGAGACCAAAGAAAGATTCTCTTTGGCTTGTGAACGTAACACTATTCTTAAAGCTTTTTCTGCATGATATAAAGCTTCTGATAAAGCTCCTAATTCTAATTGAACAGCGGCAATCTGATGGTGCGATGTAGCTAACGATTCGTGATCGTCATGAAATATTTGACTATCGATTTCTAAGGCTTTCATGTGCATTTCTAATGTTTTTGTAAAATCATTTTTTTTCATATAGATCGTTCCCAAATTATGATAGATAGCAGCTAGATCGGTGTGTGTCGCCACGGTGCCTTTGAGACGTATTTCTAAGGCATGCGTCAAATAGTTTAAAGCATCATCATAGGCATCTAAATGAGAATAGATTTCACCAATATTATTATAGGCCGTGGCTAATTCCGGATGATATTTGTCGAGTTTTAAAACATTTTCATCGATATCCAGAGCTTTTAAAAAATAATTCAATGCTAATCGATTATCGCCTTTCTTTCGGTAGGTGAGGGCAATTTCATTATAGGTAAATGCTAATGATGTAGTCGGTGATTGCAGATCGACTGCCATTAATAAGTATTTCAATGCTAAATCAAATTGTCCACGATGACGATAAGCAGCACCAAGATGAACATAGGTATTGGCAATGTGATGTTGATTACTTTGAATCAATGAATCTTGAGTCCAGAATTTTAATGCTCGTTCTTGAAATTCAAATGCTTTCTGATAATCTCCTCGATTGACATAAATAATGCCCAGGAAATTTTGTATAAGACCAAACGATGGATTCGATTCTGGTGTGTATTCCAGTAGCATTTGAAAATATCTTTCTGCTCGATCATAATCACTCATACCGATTAAAGCAGAACCAAAATCACAGAGATTTCCATAGTGTGAATATTGTCGATCTAATTCGCTACGAAGTTCATTTAAATCATCGTCATTTTCGACCATTATCATTTTAACCAGGTAATAACTATCAGTTGCTCGTCGATCATCCACATTGAGAATGCGAAAAACTGAACCAACCGAAAACAATATTTCTTCTTCTTCGGGAAATTTACTCAAATGTTCAATGGAAGCAAATGGTCGTTTCATTGCATGATGAGTTAGATGAACTTCAATTTCAAATATAACTGATAAGAATTCTGAATCTGTCCTAGTTGAACCCGAGTAAATCTTTGCTAGATCGTAGTTTTTCGTGGTAGAAAAAAATGCATTGATCGATATTAAATGTCCAATATTATCCTTGATTTGATCGAATTCTGCCATTCTCATAAATTGTCCTCGGTACACCACGAGTTTGTTATTCGAATATCTTGAATTGTTTAAAAATTGTTCTGAATATAATTTTTGTAATTGATCATAAATATCGATGAGAAAGAAATGAAAGATGAACATTAAATCAATATTTTCTGTTCGAAATGCTTGATTAAATAAACGATAAATAAATGAATCACCTGTATAAAACTTGAGAGC